CTGTCGCTGCTCTCGTCTCTTCTCTCTCGTCTCCTCTGCCTTCGCTCTCCTGCTCCTCTCGTCTGCTCTTCACCTATCCGCTCCTCTCTCTCTCTCGTCTCCTCTCTCGCTCGCGCGCTCTCGCTCTCTCTCTCTCTCTCTCTCTCTCTCTCTCTCTCTCGTCTGTCTCGCTCTCTCTCTCCTCTCTCTCTCTCTCTATCTATCCTATACATCATATCTCTCTACTTCTCTCTCTCTCTCTCTCGTATCTCGTCTACTCGTGGCTATATCTCTCTCCTCTCTCGCATCTCTCTCTCCGCTCTCTGGCGCGCGCGGCGCGACCGGCTGCGTGTGTTTCTGTCTCTTCCTCTCTCCGCTCCTCTCTCTTCTCTCTCTCTCTCTCTCTCTGCTCTCCTCTCTCTCTCTCCCTCTCTCTCTCTGCTCTCTCCTCTCTCTCCTCTCCTCTCCTCTTCGCTCTCTCTCTCTCTGTGTCTCGCTCTCTCTCCTGTGTCCTCTCTCTCTCGTCGCGTTCTCTCTCTCTCTCTGTGCCTCTCTTCTCTCTCTCTCTCTCTCTCTCTCTCTTCTCTCATATCTCTCCATCTCTCTCGGCTCGCTCCTCTGTCTCTCGCTCGCTCTCTCATCTCTCTCTTCCCTCTCTGGCTCCTCTCTCTCGGCCTCCTCTCTCCTGCCTCGTATCATCCTACTCCTATCTCTCTCTTCTCTCTCTCTTCTCTCTCTCTCTCTATCTCTCTGCTCTCTGTGTGCCTGGGTATTCTCTCTCTCTCTCTTCTCTTCTCGCTCTCTGTGCGGGGGTCGCAGCGGGACTGTGCTCTCGTCTCTCTGCTCTCTCGCTCCTCATCCTCTCTCTCTCGTCTACTCTGTCTCTCTCTCTCTCTCTCCTCTCTCGGTCTCTCCTGATCTATCTATCTATGCTATCTCTCTCTTCCTCCTCTCTCCTCTCCTCCTCTCTCTCGTCCCCCTCCTGTCTCTCTCATCTCTCTCTCTCTTATCTATCTATCTATCTATCTCTCTCTTACCTCTCTCTCCTCTCTCTCTCTCCTCTCGCTCATACTCTGTCTCTGGCTCTCTGGACATTGATCCGCTCTCTCTCTCTCTCTCTCGCTCTCTCTCCTTTCTCTCTTCACTCTCTCGCCGCTCTCCTCTCTCATCTCTCTCCTCTCTCTCTCGCGCTCTCTCTCTCTCTGCTCTCTTCTCTTCTCTCTACTCTATCTATGCATACTCCTATACTCTTTTCTTCTCGCTCTCTCTCTCTCTCTCCTCTCTCCTTATCTCCATCTCTCTCTCTCTCGCTCTCTCTCCTCTCTGGGGCCTGTTGTCCTCTCCTCTCTCTCTCTCCTCTCTCCGTCTCTCTCCTCTCCTCTCTGTCTCTCCTCTCTTCCTCTCTTCTCTCTCTCTGTCTCTCTCTCTCTCTCTCTCTCTCCTCTCTCTCTCGCCTCTCTCTCCTCTATGCTGTCTCTCTATCTCTCTCTTCTGCGTCTCTTCTTCTCTCTTTCTCTCTGCTTCTCATCTCTCTCTCTCTCTCCTCCTCGCTCATCCGCTCTCTCTCATCTCTCTCTCCTCTCTCGCTCTCTCTCGTCTCTCTCTCTCCTCCTCATCTCCTCTCTCTCGCTCTTCTCTCCTCTCCGCAGCTGCTCCTCTCTCTCTGCTCTCTCTTCTTCTTCTATCTATCCTACTCTCTACTCTTCTCTTCTCTACTCTCTCTGCTCATCTCTCTCTCTCTCTCTCTCTCTGGCTTCTCCCTCTCTCTCTGTTCTCTCCTCTTCTCTCTGCTTATGTCTCGCTCTCTCTCTCTCTCTCTTCTCTCCTGCTCTCTCTCTCTATTTCTCTCCCTCTCTCTCGGCTCTCGCTCTCTCTCGTCTCCTCTCTCTCTCTCTCGCTCTACTCTCTCAGAACATTTAAACCTCATCGACCCCTGGTCAAACCACATCAACAGCTCGCGCCAACACTTCTTTTAGGCCAACTTTACAGAACGATTTACTCAAAATGAAAGTGTCAATGACCACTGTTAAGCTCACCTTGGACCTGTATAGAAGAGCGAGGGGGATATAATAATAAAGCCAAAGAATATATGCGCGACGAACGTCCCATTATATCAGCCATATCACCCCATCTATAATAACGTTGATAAATGCCATATATGCATACGGTTTGATGCCGACAACACTAAATGTTTCAGAATCTGAAAGTCTGAAACTCTGACGAGGAGATGGCGCTACGCCAAATGACTGGCCATTTTGGTTCTTCAACCAGTATCGGCGCCAAATAAAAACATAATAAAAAAATGTCCAGCTCAACATACTGCTAACAGCAACAAATTCTCAAGAAACAACAATATTACGCCGTCATACTAGGTGGTATGATTGTAAAGTCGTGTTTTACCAGTTAGTGACGAAATTAACGTAAGAGGACGGTTGTCAGCTCGCCCCTAGGAAGTAGACAACTGTTTTGGGAGCGTATAGGCCCTTACAATTCGACATACCAAAATTTCAACAAGAATCGAATGGAATTTAGATAGGCCATTTTATTCATTATTTGCCAAAGGGGGCGTCGCGCGAGTGGCTCAAAATGTAGGTCAGACTGGCTCGCCTCAAAAAATAGGAAGTTCAAAATCCTCTCCCATAGGCATAACATACTGTAGTCAATTTGAAACATGCTGCGTCAAACGTTCTGCATTAGTCGCTTGAACCGTCAGCGCAGGACACTGAAATGCCCACCAGTAAAATTGCCAAAAATCTACCCTAATTTGCATAATTAAAAAAAATCAAACTTGTGTGACATTATGTTTTTGGGGCCAGTCCTCATTCATCACATTACAGAAATGAGGCAAATCAGCTTGAACCTCGAACTGACTTACGGCCATTTCCATTTTTGCCAAAAAGATGGACAGTGGTCTCGAACTGTAGGTCGAAGTCGACTGGCGTGCTCCAAAATAGGACGTTCAAACCTCTCCCATAAAAGTAACAACTATATGCAATTTGAAACATGTGGGTCAAACGGTTTTTGAGTTATCGTTGACCGTAGCCAAATGTTGACGGACGGACGGACGGACGTACTGACGGATGACACCCCATGGCAATAGCTCATCTTGACGATGTCAAGGCGAGCTAAAAATATATCAAATGTGTCAGCAAACAGAGCTTCTGGTATTAACCTACAGGTGGCGCACATATCGTTCGGCACATACTGTCCAGGCGCCCGCCGTCAGAAACAATATCAACATCAGTTGTAACATTTAATGAAACATTGAATACATTATCATACATCCCACAGTTATAACATTTTTCTCACAAACCGTTGACAGAAAAGTGGTAAAGCAACGAGTTTCTCATACGCAGCATAATATTATAGAATTTCCGGTCTACGAAAAAACTCAAAAGTCAATGTTAAGACTAACTTTAAGACTAATATTTGCCCCGACATCGCCCCCACCCCACCCCACACACACCACCAAATCTAAGGACGTATACAACATGGTAACTCTAGCCGCACGGGGTAACCCAATACCTGCAGTTTGCCAGCATAAGACGATAACATGAAAATTTTCACGAACCATTAACGCGACGACGCAAATTCCACGAAAACCCGCCACGCATACAGCGCGAAAACTACGACACAGCAGACGAACTACAAAAACGCCAGCAAAAAAAAGATGGCGTCGCTCGCCGCGCGCAGGTGGCGCCACCTCACCTTGTGCTGGTTGTGGTCGACGAGGCCGCCGATGACGTATACGGCGCCGGCGTCCAATCGCGAGAGCACGTTCGGCGATTCGCTGCTCAGGTAGACGACGTTAGTTCGCGCGAACACCTCCAGGTAGCGCTGCTCGTGTCTGTGCGCGTCCCAGTTGCTGTAGCCGTTACCGGCCTTCCGCTCCATCTCCGCCGCGCAGCGACCGCTCAGGCCCGTGATGTGAAACTAAAAACAATAGAACGATCAGAGATGGGTGTCTCCGTTCAAATTGAGTTAACGAGGCATACAACAGTAAGCCTCTGCAAATTGTTCCCCCTTGCGCTATTTGGTCTCTAGAAAAGGCCTTTTTTGACATTTTTTCGGTGAAATTCGTCACTAGAGTGCACTCTTTTGCATTATGCGCGCAAATTACATGCCTCGTGGACGTCTAGAAAGCATTAGAAGTAAAATTGGTCTTGTCGTGTAGCTGTGACATTCCGTCAGGTAACGTAGCCACAGTAACCGGTTGGTCATTTTTGTGTTGGAAATGTGATCCGACTACTTTGTAGAAATTCGCATCATAGGGCTGGCAAAAGGTTTCAAGCGGAGCATAGAGCATGAATCTGTAGTTATGTAACATGAATAAAGTGTATGTTGTGTATGTGACGAAACAGTGTGAGTATTTTTAATTAATTTCTGTTCGATGCTTATTCAGGCCTGCTGCCTATGAACGCCCTCTACTGTTGTTCAACACCTTTATAGGAGTGTAATGCCCCCTACACGCACGCATGCACGCACGCACGCACGCACACACACACTTTGGCACACACGCACGCACACACACACGCTGGCACACACG